AAAAAAAAGTGTATATATATATATATATATATATATGAACCTCAATAAGTCACAATTTTCATACATTCATTCACACAAGTCTAGTGTTCGATTTTAAATATCACTATGGAGACACAGTTTGATGATGACACTTTCTATGCTGAGATTAGGAGGCAGATTCTGCAATTGACATCAGAAGAGGATGAAGATTTGTTAGTTCAAAAACGTTTCAACCAATCTAGTGTTGGTCATGGTGGTTCAAGAAGGTTAGTTTGGGATAGCACAACACTTGCAAACCACTTTTGCTCATGGGAAACACATAGCTCAGGTTCACCTGATTGGCTTGTGAACTTGTGGAAGAGTGGAAGAGGTACTGGGGTGTTCATTCCCCAAGTTGTGACTGGTAAAAAACACCAGAGAACAGGTACAGATTCCTTGTATGTGTCAATCTTTCAATTGTTTTAGACCAAACTAATAGAAAAGTGCTTAATTTTTTTCTCATAGGTGCTTTCAATTTGAAATCTTGCAGGAACAGTAAATAGCAGAAAACAAATATATAAACCAGTGAGGAATAAGTACTGCAGAAACCACCCTTGCTAAGTTCATCATAATTCAGCTTATTTGAATAATTTAGAGCAAGGTCTAATCCCAAAAGCAAAGATGGGAAGCAGGTGAAAAATACTCATTTTATACCAAAAATATGTAAATTTTTTAAACATCTATGTACAGAATTTACAATGAAGTCTACCTACAGTATATATAGAAGTTTATGAAATTGTTTAATGCATCTTTCTACATCATTTTTATTTCAATGATATAATAGATGATAAAACTTATATAAATTGCTTATATATGTCCCCAGCAAGTTCTCAATTCAGATTGTTATTTTTAGTATCAATATTCAATAAATACCCTTCAAAATTAAAACAAAAGAATTATGTAAACATTACTTGATCAGAACTTAAAGTCAAAATAAAAACCTTGACTTAAGGTTTGAGAAAAGGAAAAAAAAAAATGCAAAATACTGAGGCTTATCTCCCGAATATCACGTTAGCATATGGACTTTGATAGCAAATGGATTATGGAGTCGTTGATCCATCAATAAAGCCATGTTTTTATGCTTTTACAAAGAAAAACCATGCTTTTATGCAATGCTAACTGAATGTTGGTGAAAGGGTAACTTTGATATTGATATGCATTCACGCCTGTCTCAACTGTTAGATGCAACACTTGAACAACAATAACCACATAAATATGCCAACAATATACAGAACATCCCAACTGATAAAATCTTGTACAGAAATTTTCATGCCATAAAAGAAAATTAGATTAGTAGCTACCATTAACAAGGTTTGTTCACAGTGTAATCAATTATTATCAACACTATATTTGAAGGTGGCAGCAACTCATTACTGAGTTCCTATTGGAACAGAAATGGCCAATTAGTTTGGTGCCAACATAGGAAGTCCTGCAGCAGGATGAACTAGAGCAAGAAGTCCTGCAGCAGGATGAACTAGAGCAAGAAGTCCTGCAGCAGGATGAACTAGAGCATGTTAATAGATATTAAGGTATGTCCCTACTCTCTAGGACGAGCCAACCATAATGAACTAAGTGCTCTTAGTCTTGAAATGTAGTCATTTCTGACAAGGAGGGCTCGAGCTGTTTGTCGTGTTGTCAGAATTCGCTGCAACTGTTGAAGAGTTTGGTGCTTCAAGACGTCAGCCTGAGAAAATAAAACATAATCAGAACACTATGCATAGAAGCTTTTGATGATGTGCATGGTAGTGGTGAATAACTGAATATCTTGTTAATGATAGAAAGACGCGAAAATTTTCCATGATGAGTGTATTATGATATGTAGCACATCTTTAGATTCCTTCATCCCACTTTTACTCCTATCAAGTACCAAGCAGTCAAGCACACCCTCAATATTTATGAAGATATAATTATGAGTAAGTTAAAACATTATTATCCTCGTATTTCCCTAATACCATGTAAAGAAAATATGAATTAGATCCTCTCATGCTGAATTTTAACATAACCTTGCCAAGTTGAAATTTTGCATCTCTCTCTTCATAAGCGTTAAATAGGTTGGGCCTTAATAAAACTATTGAATAATTATGAAACAAGACATGCAAAGTTTCCACATGAAATACTCATTCCAAAATCCAAGATGCGGGAATCCACTCTCAAATAAAGTAATAAATGAAACAGTAAATAGGCACTCCTTGAAGTTTTGTGAAATAGCACACAAACATCTTTCATGAACATTACACTAACTCCGTTAATTGTTTAAAAAATATTACAATGTGTTGTAAAAGTTAAAGTAAGGAGTGTGTGTGCAATTTCATGAAACTTTGTGGTATCAATGTAAGAAATGAAAATTTGATTACATTTAATATATCAAAAACATCACAAGATTCAATATTTTCTTCATTTAGCAAGTAGGAAAATTCTGTGTAAGATTTAGAAATTCTAACTTAATTAAGCTCCTTAGAGTGATTGCATCATACCTGATGAAGGAAACTCTCCAGATCAGAAAGCTTTCCCATTGCAATTGCCATTTGGCCCATGTAATCAGCAACATTTGCACTACCAGTGGGTCCTAGCGAGGTGGAGGAAAGTGCTTCCACAAGAGATTGTTGCAATGCTTCCATGCCTTGAGTCAAAGCATCCTCAGCCTGCTGGGAAGATTGTTGCAGATTACAAATGCCCATCAACTGCTGATCTGTTAATGGCTCAAGGTGGTTCTTAATGATCTGAATCCCAAAAGACATGAGTCAACAGCAAATATTTCCACCCAAGTGAGCATAAATTACTTGCAACATAAAAACTACTAGCTCAGCCTAGTGGTGAGTTGAGGTAATATACACAAAGTTTTAAATTCAGACCTTGTTTTCGTCTTTGTATTCTTTCCTACTAATAAAAAAAATTGGTTTGCATATATGCAAGTACTGAATTGGTCAATCACCTTGAGAAGTTCAGATGAACGAAATCCACCAAGCCACATAAACCATCGTTCGACAGGCGTTTTCCACATCCCATTAAGTATGTGAAATACATCAGCCTTTGCCCCTATGCTCTTTAACCTAAATAACTCATTGTAATGTGCAATGACACCATCAACTAGAAGATGTAATTCATTATCACTGATCTGAGAATTTACAGCTGTTCTTAGATCATTGAGCATACGTTGATGCTCATCAACCCAGTGAGCATAGTCTATGTCAAACGCCAAGGCACCTGAAGATTCAATAAATATCATTATTCATAGTCCCTCCTATAATAAAGTAAATTGCTACAGATTTCACTTTAATAAATCACCTGCAGGAGCCATATGAACCTCAACTCATATGAAATCTTAAGTAAATGAATAGAAGCAATCTGTTATTTTGACCACAAAAATGGTTACCCTAATACACTAATCAGTCAGCAGAAAGTATTTCTACCCAATAAAACCATGCCATCAAACAACATATTATCCACCTATGAATATGAGGCAAGTGGGTAACAAAACCAAGAACTTAGCCAGACATTCAGCCTGACAAAAATACTACTTATAATAGATAGGTGAAATAAGTAAATTGATTTAAAACATCGACATCATCCCCATAGTTTGTCCTTATCACATGGACCATCATGTAAGAAATCCAAGGAAATGAGTGACATTTATAGAGCGGTAATGTTTACAAGTGAATTATAATCTATACACCAATTACACTCCAAATATCTAAACTACAATTTGGGAACCAATTTCCCGTACTAGTGCTATATAAGGTTTTTAATATTTGAAGCTGTCATAAAGTTCCATATCTAATTTCACCTAATTAGCGTGACTTTGATTGTAGTTGCAAATACATTATTTCTCTATGATTGGATGTGAATTGAAGATGTGCTCATCTATTTTTCTACAGAAATTAAATTTCAAGAGAATGCAAGAAAACCAATATAAGCATCATGGTTCTGCTACTGTAGGAAATAATGCTCAAAAAATGCCTCTTTCTAAGTACCATTTCCAACAGCCAAATGACCTTGATCACCTTGATTGGCAATAAATATACCCTACATTAAAATAGAAACCAATTAAGATAAGAAAATCAAATTATCTTCAAATATCAACCAAAATCTTTAACTTCTTACACCTGCTGTCGTGCTCGTTGAAGTTCTTGCTCTAATTGCACAAGCTTGACTCGGCTGTTTTCCAACTGCTGCACATATGCCTATTTAAAACCAAAACCTATAAATGAATCAATTATGTTCAACTTAAAATTTAGAACCCACTAAATTAAAACTTATATAATTTCTACAAAATGTAACACATGATTTTAATATTTATACATTTAACTTGCACAATTCTATCATAGTTTTCTAAACTGTATGAATATCTTAAAACTAGTCATTGAATTGACAAGTCCCTCCATCAACTCAGGTAAAGATAGCTATTGAAAGGGGTGCCAATTGGCTTAACAAAAGAATCTCGTTTATAGTTCCCTACATATCAAGGTATGAAATGAAAGCAATCCAATTTAATACTTTGAAGCAACTACCTTTTTCCTAAGCCTACTCTTCCTTGCAGCCTCTCGATTCTGAGCCAGCCTACGGAGGGTCTAGAAAAAGGGCATCAACATAAATAAAGCACATCAGTAATAAAACATAAATCAATAGCTACAAGTTGTACCAAGTTTTAACCAAACGCAACCTTTTGATCTTCAACTTTGTCCTTTGTCTGATCCTTGGAGTGCACAACCATTTGTGCCCCATTCTTAACTCTGTTGCACTAACACAAGGTTAAGAAACGCTATCAGAGTTTATCAAGATTCACTTCATCCAAAACATAAATCTAGTGCACTAAATACACGATGCTTCTATCAGCATTTCTTTTTTCACATTCAATAGGCTCAAAGTGTACACAAGCACACTTGCTCCAATTCATGGAAGCGAGAATTTCCTGCTTTCCTTAACACTGCTTTGTGTACACTTGATCCAATGTGCATACAAAAGACACACTCTTGTTTACACTCGATTCATGGTTGAATCAAAAAGGCAATTCATCAATATAATTTTGGTCTCGAAAGTACTAAGAATTTTGTAATTAGTCGCTATACAAAATTTTATTCATGTTTAGTCCATGTAAATAACAAAAACACGTTTTTCATCCCTCATGAAGGATGTTACTAAAACCACATCATTATTCTTTGTTAAATGTCAAGACTAAAAATGAACAAAATTGTTCCGAACTCAAGTCTGCTAGAGTCATTAGAGTCATCACATCCAAAATATTATCTAGTTGAATGTTGCAATTTTATCTTTGAAAAGATTTCTCAAAAACTACCCTTAGCCTTATCTCCTAATTTATACTGAACTTTTGGGTATGCTGAAACAAAAATCTTGGTAGGAACTAAATCCAAATTTCATGATATTTCCAGGAAAAACATATTAAAAAACCAAGTATTAACAAAATCCTCACTTAAAATAGTGTAAATTACTGCTTTATACCCCTCTCCCCAGAAAGAAAGAAAAAAACTGCAAATTAATTAGGCAAATAGACTACTTGTATGATCAAAAAATTCAAAACATGATTGAGAAAGAGATTCATCTACTTGGATTTTAACATCAGTGTCAATATCTGTGGAAGTATCATCAGTCTGTTGGCTATTATCTGCTAAGCCTGAATCAGCCCAATTTTCAACATGACCATTCCCCAAAGGCAAGGCTACCATAGCCACTCCCTTGTGGTACATCATCTGCTGCCCTGTATCCATGCACCCTCCCCCACCGGAACCAATCTCTGCAGTCCCAACATTCTACACAAACACAACATTTACAACCCAAAATTTCAATCACACCACAAAACAAAACCAAAATCCTACAACAAAGGGAGAAAGTAAGAAGAAGAAACAGAAAGACCACCGAGCTCAATGTCCCATACTGCATGGTACTACCACCAACAACGTTGCTTGATTTCACACTAAATATAGAACCTGTAGAAAAGCACAAAACCGACATCATCTATATCATAACACACTCAGAGGATGCATGTCAAGTAAAAACTTGGTAAACATTTTTTTTTATCCATAGGAATTACAGCGACAACAACAGAGTTTCACACTAAGACTTGTGCATCCTTTCACAACCCCACAACTCCGAGTTCTTAATAGTAAAATTATTTCACTTAAATTTACATTTAATACAGGTTTAGAATCATTTTTTTATTAAAAACTAATTTCTTGCTCTAAAACTATCTCACAAAGATTTAAAAAAAATGATTATTTTCTTGAAACACACAAAACCCATTCATTTTGTTTATATGGTGCAACTAACTATATAGTCGAGGTGTGTTACTTGAGCTTAAATCAACAGCATCTTCATGTTGAAAAACAGCAGAGGAATGGTGAAGGTCCCCGAGATCAGAGAAGCGCGTTGCGTTTCGGTTGATGTCGTTTCCCCTGTTTCAAAACAGAGACACTCTGTTTCAGCACAAACAAAAATCTCCCAGTACCAAAAACAGCATAACTTTGTTGCGCAGAAAGAGATACACCAAAAGCAATAGTAGTAGTAATAACAATAACAATAACAAAGAGTGTCAAAAAGCTACGTAACGCACCGAAGCAAGAAGGAAGAGTGGCAATAGAGTTGTGAAGTTGGCTGTGCTGTCTTGAAGCCTTGCATATTATTCATGAAACTAGTTACTAACCAAAGCAAAGCGTGTTGTTTATCTCGTTACAAAAGCAGCATCTTCATCATCATGACGATCAAGTCTTATACTGTTGTGTTCTGATAGAAGAAAGAGTATGGGAACGAGGTAGTGTGAGAAGCCAGCAAAATCTTGATGTGTCTTTAAGAAGAGAGGATGGCATGTTAATGTTAGTACTTTTATTTTATTATTATTATTATTATTTATATTATTAAATGATGATTAAACAGTCTATGCACTTACAATATATCTTACGAACTTTGTTTTTATAATACTGTTATCTTACATAAACAATTTTTTTATAGAAGATATTTAACTTTATTTGAATATTCTTTTTACTTTATAACAATAATAATAATAATAATAATAATAATAATAATAATAGTAGTAATTTAGAAAATACTATTATAAGAGATTTTAATTATTTATTTTAGTAAAAGAAATTGTTTGCAAAAACAAAATAATCCTATATCATAAGTTTATTAAATAATTAATATTTATTTTAAATTTTATATTAACAGTAATCTTTTATTAAATAACCGAGTAAAATCTTTTACACAAAATTAAACTCTTATATTATTTCATTTAATTTGTCATTTAAAATTTTTATTTTATTTTAATTATTATTTTACGATATAAATCCAATATTAATATATTTTTTATTATATCATTGACTATTTAAGTGAGTAAAATATATAAAATAAACATAGATGAAAGATAATATAATTAATATTAAAATAAAAGGTAGTTTTAAAAATTATATAATAACCTTCTAATATTTAAAACATTAACTGCATGTTTGGTATATGTGAAAAAACTTTAAGGCCTTGTTTGTTTCAGAGGATTTACTGTTCACGATGAATGAAAGGTGAAGAAACTTGACGTTTGTTTTCACTGATTTGCAACGAAAGAAAAACGAAGAAAAACGGGAGAACCCGCGTGACCGTTCCTCGTGAAGTTGTGAAGAAAAGAGATGAAAACTACGTAAGAAATGAGAAAATTCGATAATATCACTGCCCAAAAGCTTGAAAGAGATGAAGTTATGTCATGCTCATGCATCCAGAGACTGTGCCTGCTGCAAAGGAATCTCTGCCATGATTCACAGGCCTTTGTCCTTCGTTTGAATGGCACAGTGACGCCTTTGAAATGAGGCTGAATAGGTCTCACTAGTCACGCGTTTATAAGAAACTTGGAAGCTCTGTGTGTGCAGTGTACTCGTGCGAGGGTGGTTGTTGCTGCAGTGATTCTCGACGGGACAATACTATTATCTTTTAAGAAAAATTTCTTCAAAAATTACCGTGGAAATACTATTATATTTTTTACTAAAGAAATTTATATTATTAATTTATTAATTGGAGTTCTTTATTACTAAAAAAATTAAATTTAAATCATTGTATATCTATTCTAAGTTCTAACAGTGACAATAGTTATAACTAGTGTTTTTATAGTAATAATGTGACTATTTTTTTAAGCTTTAAATTAAACAAAATAAAAAGAAAATTAATTTAATAATTGGATAGGGAGTTAGAAATACGTGGGATCTAGGTTGAATCCTGTTCATCTTTATCATTTTTTATATTAAAAAAAAAAAGAGAAAGGGGAAGAAGTATATTATATTGTGTGAGGTAGTAGGGTGTTTATTATTCATTATTATTGCTATCTGACTTGGGATTTTATTTTTCCAATGCCTCTGAGACACAGTCACACACTGTTCAATGACCAACCCAATCCTTTCCCCATTAGACGTCTCCTGCGAGCTTTTTATTCCTAGTCGTCCTATGTAGTTCCTACCTACGTGACATAAACTTTGTGCTGTTTTTCATGTAATAAAGGCGTGCGATTATTCCTAAGTTCCACTTTCCCCACTCCACAAAGGGACATTACAATTTACTAATGGGTTAAAGCACCACACCCATTCACCTTAACACTAAAACTCTTGTTTTTCATACCAAAAGAGAATAACTGTGAACAGTGCTGTGTGAATTCGTATCAAAATTTGGCCAGATTCGAATTTCGGAGACACAACTTATAACGTATATACTTGCTCCACTACTGCCTCAAATAAGAATCAAACTTCTCACTTGTCATAAAATAATCTTTAGTAGTAGAAGTCAAAGTTTTATGAGTATAATAAATTAATGTTTAATTATCAATTTTGAGACACCATGAATTATATTTATAGAAAAAATAAAATTTTAAACTAAAAATAAAAAATAAAAAAGAGAGAGAGAGTATTATTATGTTTATTTTATCCCCTTTCTAATTCCTTTCTTCTAGTTCAAGTATAGAGTGAAATGAGTCCTCTAAAGGTGGGTAGCATGCTTACAGTTATATCGGATAAAAATTTGTCTTGGTTCCATAATTGAGCAAATATTTGTTAATTAGGTATTTGCAAATTTTATAAATATATGTAGATATTTATGTATATTTGTAGAAATTTTTATCGGATACAAGAATTTGTACACTCACTAAGGTATGCAACCTTAGTTTTATAAAGATTGAGTGTGTGGTTTACTCTCACAGAGAGGATACAAAAGTTTCTACACTCACTAAGGTACATGTTCCTACGTTACACTTAGAACACCTTAGTCTACAAAGATGAATACACTATGGTATATTTGACTGTATACGGTCTCTGGTTTCATTGCTTCATGGGCTTGATATCACTCTTCACTCATCTTCGCAAAAGCCAACCTTTCAAGGTTTGAAGTTGTGATATGTATAGTCTTGTAAGATTTGCCCGTTGCAAGTGTTCGTTGAAGTAGATGTAGTCGTTCATAACTAGTTCGATCTTCTCATTTAATGCATTAGATCTTGCATTAAATGTTGCTTCCTATTTATAGACATTGCGTGAAGTCTTCTTTATTTTGTTAGTAGTAGTGTCTGACTTTAGCTGAGACCTAGGAACTTTTTGTCCTTTTTCGGTTATCGTAGCTGCAGAGCATTTTCCTTATCTGAATAAGTAATGTACTTTTTTTGACACATGCATGCTTTTACTTTTGACGTGTTTTTCTTCTTCTTCTTCTTCTCTTCCTTTAATCACGCGATCATGTTGAGAGCATTTAAATGATCGTAGACGATGCCTTAATTTGTCCTTTGAGACTTGATACTTTAACTGCTTTCATGGCAGTCTTTGTCTGCGTTTGGTAGTCCATTTGCATCTCAAGTCTTGATCTTCGTCTGAGCATTTGTCCTTAATGCTTTGACTTCTTATGGTCTAGTCAATCATTGTGAATGGACAGACTTTGTTTTCGTCTGAAATTCTTTTCAGTTTGTGCTGTCCTTTTTCTAATATGTTGTTTGACTTTCTTTTAATCTTTGACATCCTTCGTCTGATATTTGATTTGTCATCGTCTAGCACTTATGTCATTTTTCATCTATCATATGGCTTTGCTTCGTCTGATCTTCGTCTAGTTGACCATTTTCGTCTTGTTCTTGATTTAGCTTTGTTTGACATTTGTTTTGGCCTTTCGTCTGCCTTCCTTTATCTTGATTCTGGTGTAGGAAGTGGCACATGCACATGCTCTATTCTTCAGCTTGTCTGTAATTATATTTTTCTGAAACACTAACGCACTTGTTAAAAATAACGTATTATATTTGTCTCATTCAAAACCTTACTGGGAATTGCTTCTTCTGACTTAGCAAAGGGGAATCTCTACTTCATCTTGTATGGTGAAATGGCGTCTAGCATCCATGGAAGCCATGGAAGAAGCTTGAAGGAGTCCAAGAAGTGAAAATTCTTTCCTTAAAAGCTTGAAGAAGAAGCTACAACAATCTTGTTTCTCCTAAAGTTTCCATTATAAATGATTATGATGTTCAATGCATGATGGACACGTTGCAGAGCTAGACAATTATGTTAATATTAGAATTGTATGTTGAAATTGGTGTTGAAAGTACATCTTCAATTCTTTGCAAAATCTAGCACTTTGCCCAATTAATGAACAACAATTTGAATGTTTAGAAAATATGCTAAGAGAAGAAGTTGAAGATGGCGAAGATAATAAAGACTACAATGTTTCTTTTTCATTTCAAAGTGGAGACGAATCAAGTGAAGACGAATCAAGTGAAAATCAAATAGATGATTGTACGTACATCATCTAATGACACTGTTAGAAAAGAATGGCACAATCCAAGACGGGGGGTAAATTGGATTCTATGACCCTTTAAAAATTTCAGAGTATTTTGGATATTTATTTCACTTAAACTTTTCTAAGACTGAATTTTCAAATGAAGCTTCTTTAAAGACTTGTTATAGAAGAATGAATTCTATATGCTTTCTTGATTACAAAAATAATGAGGTTCAAATGTAATGCTTTAATTCAGTTTAAACCACTAATATTCACACACACGTGCTAATCAAGAATCATCTTCTTTAATGTACAATCAAGATATTACTCAAAGTAAAAGATAAAGGTAGAAGAAGATTGCACAAGTCTTTTATCCTGGTTCAGCCACTCCACATGTGACCTACATCCAGTCCTCAATCAGAACCTGATCAAGATTTGTTCCACTATCTTTATGAAGAAGGTTTACAAGCATACCACACATGCATATACTTCAACACTCAAGATAACCACTTTCTTGACCCCAAGAAAGCACCCCTTGTAGAAACCCACTACAAGAATCCTTACCACTTGAGAAACCCTTCTCAAGATTTTACAAGTATTCACAAAGAATTAAGGAACGAATTCACCTGGAATTCAGAAGCAAATCTTAATCTTCCCCTTTCAAGAATGTGATGATGATGATGATCCTTTCTCAAAGTTTTTCACAAACGTTTTTCTTCTTGGATTCACAAAGAAAACTCTCCAAGATGGTCACAAAGACTCCACAAAAACGCTTTTCTAAATTTGATTCTCAATTCTAACTCTTGTCTGAAGTTTCAAAAAGTTCAAACTATTTATAAAAGTTTCAGACCCAGATAATCGATTATTTTAAAGAATAATCGATTATTTTGTTCTTCAGGTTTTATGGAAGCCAACCAAGAACAATATAATCGATTATTTTGCAAATAATCGATTATTGCAGCAAGGCATCTCATTTTGCCTGTTGCTGGAATAATCGATTATATTTAATGATAATCGATTATTTTGAGTTAGTTTTCATAACTTCGTTTTAAGTCTCAAAATAACTTTTTAGTTCTTTTAACTCATC